GTGCTCTGCTCCTTGTTCTGCTTGGTTTGTCACGCTGCCAGCCCGTGGGGGCCCTTTGCTTGTCTCCTGCATTTAACAGGAGCAGTGTTAGCAACCATTGCGTGGTGGCTTCATCTTCTGTTGTTAGTTTAAGGTAGAGGAGCCAGTAAAAGCTGTTCTTCCAGTTAAGAAGAACCAATCTGCATTTTTAGCTGGAAATAGCATCTCCTCTGTCCATCCTTTTACTGGTAACCAACTCCTTTTGAGTCTTACGATCCTGTGATGGGACCTTGCTCCCAAAGGACCTGCACTAGACATCCGTGATTCCATCAGATCTTGAACTTAAGTCTGGTAAACTTAGCCTAAATTTTTTTTAAAGCTCTTATTTTTCCCCTAGGTGTTCAACTGGTCTATGAGCATGGTTATTCCAGTAAGCCCTAGTGTGGATGCAATTTCCGCAGGTTCTGGGAATGTTTCTTCCCATGTGAGAACAGCTGGTTCGATCTGAGCTGTTTTCATGACACAGAAGTGCACTCGTGGTTCAGCTTTAATAAACCAGCATGGTTAACGTGGGCCAGCTTTGTGGTACGCTGGCAGAATGGCTCCTCGTGCTGGCGTGGGTGGCTGGAGATCCTGGGGTGAAGCGCAGCCAGCCAGAGGTGTCCTCCCTGGGAAGGGCACACCAGGCTCTGCATCCCATCAAGTCTCTGCCGTGAGCTGCCACCAGACTCCAAGTCTGTCTCTTTGTGCTGGTGCTGTGAACAGAAGTCTTGTTTCTCTTTAGCAAGACAGGGGGAGCAAAGCAGGTTGGCTTTGCTGAAGGCAAAAGAGGTTTAACAAGGCCAAGGGCTGGGTCCTGCACTTGGGTCACAACAACCCCACGCAATGCTACAGGCGTGGGGAAGAGTGGCTGGAAAGCTGCCCAGCAGAAAAGAACCAGAGGGTGTTGCTCGACAGCCAGCTGAATATGAGCCAGCAGGGTGCCCAGGTGGCCCAGAGGGCCAACAGCATCCTGGCTTGTATCAGGACTGGTGTGGCCAGCAGGAGCAGGGCAGTGACCATGCCCCTGTGCTGGGCACTGGGGGGGCC